GGGGGAGTGACAGGCAGCCTGTCGCACTTAGAGCTGTTTAAGGTACATTTTTCAACACAAAATATTATCAAAAACATCATCGCCCAGCATTCTTGCCATGAAACGCCTGCACAGAGAGATGATGGACGGGGGAAGGGGGGGGGGGTCAGCACAAGTTGCTCTGCTCGTGTAGAGCTGCGTGTCATCTGAGGCACGCAGTGCGTTCAGCGCCCGACTTGCTGGTGCAGAGTGCAGCCTTGCGACGCTGCCAGCACACAGCTGACTGGGGGCTGGCAACTTGCGAAGGGCTGGCTGATCGCGCAGCATTGCGGTTGGGTAGTCAGTACTAAAGGCAGCACCCGAGGCAGTGCAGACGGTACTTCTATCCTTCAACAGCGCCAGGCGACCGCCTGAGTACCATAACTTCAACTCTCAGATACCGCGGGAGCGCGCCTCACATGAGGGTGAAGTGCGCCATGGTCGTCGCCAGCGGCAGCCACGCGCGGCGCGGCCTGCCCCAGCGCGCGAGCCACACGGAGACGTCACGCCACAGCACCAGCATGAAGAAGTTCAACTCTCAGATAACGCGAATGGGACTCACATGAGGGTGAAGTACGCCATGGCCGTCACCAGCGGCAGCCACGAGCGGTGCGGCCTGCCCCAGCGTACGAGCCACACCGAGACGTCGCGCCACAGCACCAGCGTGAGGAAGAGCACGCCCGCGAGGCTGAGCGACGAGTGCCCGCTCACCCAGCTCGTGTTGGCCTGCGTGGGGCAGGTTGGTGGCGAAGCGCGCGAGTAAGTGAGGGAGTGAGTGGGTGGGTGGGTGGGTGAGGGAGTTTGGTATGTGGCGGAGAAGCGAGCGAGAGAGTGAATGCGTGGTTGAGTGAGTGAGTGAGTGAGTGATTGTGTGAGTCTGGTTGGTGGTGGAGAAAGCGAGTGAGTGAGGTGGTGAGAGCCGGCGAGGCTCAGGGACGAGTTCACGGGCCGTGAGATGAACGAACGACGCGCCATGGTCAGGAGCCATGGTTCACCCAGCTCAACTGTGCGATAGAGTACTGAACAGCTATCGCAGTCCTTTTTAAATGGCATTCCTCTACAGGTCCTTGTCAAGCCTGTAATTGAGCACATTGGGGTTTACAAATGCTTCAGAGGTATGTCAACAGGAAAGCATGAAAAGTCCGCCACGTTCGTGTTGTTTCCACCTTAGAGACGCAGATAGCGTTCAGAAGAACCCCAGCAAGTGGCGTGCAACAACAGGTCTGACAGAACAAACCGCCTGATTGCAGGCCGAACTCTGTCACACGAGCAGTGCGCGGCGCGCATCGATATCACATGGTGATGCCCATCTGCGCAGGATCCAAGTGCAGCGGCACGCGTGAGACCCTGATCGCTGAACGACCACAACGCAGCGATCATGTACTCGTACTTGATCTTCAACAATGTTTGAACTTCAACGCAGCATGCGGCGGAAGCCCCCACTCACGCTGCGCGTCGCGTCGTGGATGGAGCCCTGGTCGACCACGCTGTGTTCTCCAAAGTACCTGCGCGCGCACACACGGTGGCAGCGCAGCGGAGTGTGTGGGGCGGGGCGATGATCTCACGGCATCAGCGCTCGGCGGCAGCACGGTCGCCGCTTTTGCCGCCGACTTTCATGAGTGGCGGTGCGCGGCAATAAGGTGGCTTGCATCAGGCGGCATGGTGTGCTGCATACAAACCGGACGCAAGCGTCCAGTCGCAACAAATCACCGCGCCGCGTAGGCGCGGGCTACAGACGCAGCGCTGCTGTGCAACTCGCAAGCGCGCGTGCTGCATACACGCCAACTCTCTGTGTAAAGGCGAGCCACGACGCGGTGCGCGCACGACAACAGCCGCCTTGAAAAGCACGGCTACTACAACCTTCGAAGCTACATTGGCATACGAAATTCATCGAGTTCCAGGCTCAAGCTGCGAGATCCACACTAACATGCCGCCGGGTGATGGCTGAAGCGTCCTGCACTCACTTGAGGGCGTAGTAGTTGGGGCGCGGGCGGCCCACCAGCAGCTTGGTGAGCTCCGTCATGAGCGACGCCATGGCCAGGGACGCCAGCAGCCCGATCCACGCGTCCCAGCTGCACGAGGCGTGTCACCGCGGCGAGCATAGGTCACAGTTGAAGTTGAGCAGCTGGCGTAATTCTGTAGCGCGGGTAGAGACGGTTCTGCGTCGCTCATGCACAAAGCGAGCAGGCAGTGGTGCTGAACGCGGGCACGCTACGGAGTGCTGGTGGCTGTAGTACTAAATTGTCAAGTGGGTTCATGCGACGCCAGCAGCCCGATCCACGCGTCCCAGCTGCACGAGGCGCGTCACCGCACGCAACAACCGATTATAGGTTAGACGTTGTTTGTTTTCATGATACAGGACGATGGGAGTTGAACCCATGACCTTCTGTTCCCAAAACAGATACGCTACCAAACTACGCTACGTCCCGAATAATGGGTGGCATGAGGCAAACTTGACCGCCGAGCAAAGGTCACAGTTGAAGTTGAGCACTTCACCGGGCCAGTTCTGTCGCGTGGGCAAAGGTGATGCTGCGCCGCTCGCTCACGGGCGGAGCAGGCAGTGATGCTGACTGTGGGCGCGCTATGGAGTGCTGGCTGTTGGACTAAATCAGCACTAGGTTCATGTGATGGCTCGGATACAACGACGATTTGGTGTGTGGTGTGCAAGGTTGCCAGCTTTGCAGGAGCCTGGTACATGTATGTATGTTTCTGACAACTGCCACAAAGTGCTGGCCGGGCTTGCCCTTCTGGTTTGCACTAGGTTTAAGATTACATATAGGATTAGGGTTTGCAGTTGTCGGGAGGGTTTTTGGGACACCTGCAATCTCCGCAGGTCAGCACAAACTCCCTGGGAAATCAAGGCCTGCTTGCACAGCATGTATGCCGGCAACTTGCTGAGTGACTGCTGAGTGATGCTTTGGTCATGTCAGGCTTTGTGCACACACTTCCTGCCTTTCCTGATTTTCCGAGAAAGTGGCCTACTCGCTGAAACACGACGTGCACGGACTGTTCCAAGGCCTAGCCTGGCGACCGACGCGTGGGCGCCCAGGCAGTGCGATCGGCGTGCAAGAAGAGCACACATGCGCATGAACAAGCCTGAGCAGCTACATTTCACAAAGGGCGCGCGAGCGCTGCGGGCAACGCAAAAGGGTAGGTAGGTACAGTACTGTGCGTCAGCGCTCAGGCGCACTCGCCTGGAGAAACACACGAGCGTGTGCCAGTCCGGCTTCGAGTTGCCGTTGGCGCCGTCCGCCGCCGCCGCGGGGCGGCCGCGCCTGCCGCACAGCGACAGCGCCTTCATGAGACAGAAGTCCGACCTGCGATGCGCGGCGAAACACCAAACAGACGCAGGGTTAGAGTCAGGGTTACGGTGAGAGCCGCGCTCCGCTCCGTCGCTTGACAAGCTCGTAGACAAGCCCGCCGTCACTCGACAAGCTCTCAGACGAGCCTGGTGCCAAGAGCAGTCGCCCTGGTGCGGCAGCCGAGCTGCAGGTGCCGCGGAATGATGCATCGCGGCGACACGGGCGCGCCGCATCAGCGAGAGCGCGAGCTCTGAGCACGGTGGTGAGCGCGCGCTGTGGCATTGCGCATCGGAGCGAGACGGGGGCGCCGCATGGATGCGCTGGCGCTGACAACCGCGCATGCGCCGGGCACGCGACGCACACGAGGGAGAGAGAGCGCGCTGGAGGTTGGGCCGCGAGCGGCTCCGATCATGCGACAGCATGCGCGTCGCAACTCGCGCATCGCGGCGGCGCACGGTTGCTGCGCTCGCGCTGGGAGGGAGGCCGCTGCGGGTGGCGCTTTCGGAGTGTGGCAGCTGCACGGACGGAAGCGCTGCGGCCGTGCGCACGCTTGCAGGGCGCGGTGTCGGGGCGCTGCTGCTTCCATAGCAAGTGCAACGACCGGTGCGGGCGGTGCTGCGCGTCACGCTCACCTGCTGCCGACGAGGCATGCGCGCAGCAGCAGCGCGAGCACTGGGAATAAAATGCTGACCATCATCAGCTCCGACGTGTTGACGGCCTGGGGGGCACAGGGAAGGGGCAGCAAAGCGGGAACAGTGTGCTTCAAGCCTGCTAGTATTGTCAGTCAACTGAGTTCTCACGCAGCACACCATGCATGCCTCTCGTGCACTGCAAGGACAGCACTTTTCAGTTCGGCGTGGGCGGGAGCATGATGCACCCGCAACTGACAAACGGGAGAGGAATGGCCTGGAGCTCTGATGGAGCTCAACTCTCGTTCTGACCGAGCCGAAAGCGCGCAGTGCGCCCAGCACCAACGGAGTCAAAAAGCCACCTACAGTAGAGCATCGCGTCGGGTCTCCTTCCGCGTCGAGATTCACTCGCATCGCGCGAAGACGGTGACCGCCGCGCTTAGACACTGCGCATGCGACGTCGTCGGCGCGCGCGTGCCGGCCAGCGTGCCGCGACAGCGCCAGCACACCCCGAGCTCTTCCAACGCGCACACGATGCACGGTTGGCTGAGCCGCTAATGACGCCAACCCTGATAGCAACCCTAGGCACGCATGCGCAGCACATGTGCGCGCAGCAGTGAGCGTGCGCACGCATGCCTCGCCGCCGCGCCCTGCACCGCCAGCGCACGCTGCCGTCGTCATTGGAGCGGAGGGGACGCGCGACAGGCTCCACTGCTGCAGACAGATGCGCCGCAGCTTCGAAATTGTGCCGCGCGCAGGGGTGCCAGCAGCGCGCCTGCGCCGTACTTTAAACCTCAACTTTGTACCACAAAAGTGCATGAGAGCAGGCCTAGCACGCTGCGCAGGAATTTTCAAGCCGGGCCACGGACCGCCGCACATGGCCTTGAACCGACAGCCCCGCAGCCGGACATATTGATGAAGATGAGTGTTCTGAGCGCTTCTCGCTGGCTGTGTATGGTCATCTATTGTTGAAGTTGCACTTCGCACGGTTCAGCCATCGCCACCAGCCATGCGCGCCCTAATCACCCCCCCCCCCCCCCCCCCCCCCCGGGCATGTCTCTCGCCACTGGTCCAGCCTGCTCTCACGCACGCACCTCCCCCGGGCCGCCGCTGTTGGGGTTGGTGAGCTCCGTGCAGCAGACGCTCGTCGACGCGTCCGTGCACGTCGCCATGTCATCCTCGAAGCACTCCTCGCCGCCCAGGAAGATGGGGTAGCTCAGGTCGCTGCGGTGGCGCAGCGCGGCGCAGCTTTTCACGCGTGAGTTTGGCGGAACGTGCGCGAGAGCGCGCGACACGCGGACGGGTGCCGCTCGCAGGACTGCTTGCGAGTTCGTTGCAGCCACGGCGCAATGCGAAGCGCGCTGCTGAGCGTGCGCACTCTGGCAGCAACCAAGGCACGCGCGTCGCGGTACGCCAAACTGCGTGGCGCCGCGCGGCACAAGAGTAGCGTGTGCGATGCGGTACGGCAGTCCGCACGGAGGGCGCAACACAGCACAGACGCTGGATTCTTACCTGCTCTTGCCGATGGCGCCCTGGTCATGCAGCAGCGCGGACAACAACATGGCGGGGGGGGGAGGGGGTGATGTCAGCTACTCGCCATGAGAAGCAGCAGGGGAGATTTGGCGTCAGCACGATGGACACGGGCGAGCTGACAGATGTGGAGTTTCATGGGCAGCCATCATCAAGAGTTACCAACACCACAGAGCAGGCACTTGCGGCAGAACAGAAGCACATATTGCATTGCACTGCTCACTGAAATACGCGCAGATCTACTAGAGACTGAGGCAGATGTGCAAAACAGGCTTGCACCAGCGGGGCACTTACAGTGTCAGGGTCTATGCCAAAGGTGGATGGAGCCAGGAAGTCGAAGGGATCGATTTTTACACCAACTGCGCCCACGCAGCGGCAGCAGCAGCACCAGAAAACAATGGCAAATGTTAGTGAATATTGCTTTAACGTGCTAGCGAGTGACACGAACACTCACAAACCAACCTGGTAGCTGTTGCAAAGGCACCAACACGGCTCTCTCCTAAAACAAGAGTTGGTGCTGACACAACAGCAGCATACCCACGAGCGCCGGTGAGTCATCACGCAAGCACAACATACACCACGTGACACACGACGTTGTCAAGCGCCGCAGGGCAGGCAGACAGCACGTGAGCAAGTGCATTCTGTCCGCCAGGAGTCGCAGGCAGGAACTCACTTATGGCGGCGATGATGCCCAATATGATGTACAAGAAGATGTTGAAGCAGCGAAGCAGTACCAGGTGCGTCCTCACAACCGGCGGGGCCTTCAGGAGCTGCTGCGCACGCAATAGAGCGATGGGAAAGTCATGATCAAGGACCAAAAAAAAACTGATGATGGGGAGCCAGATAAACAATGGTGGCGATGGCAGAGGATGGTGGTTTACCTCATGATCTGTCTCGGTATCGCCATTCATGATTAAGCCCCAGGCTGCCGTCGCCGCTGCTGGAGCTCTGTGGAGCTGCGTACCCCAACTGGCAGGCTGAGAAGGTTCCCAACTTCGGAAGCTAACGGATTTTAAGTTCTTTTTTTTCGCGCTTCTCTGTTCCTAAACCGAAGCCAGGTACTGCAGCGGGAGTGCGCAAACCCATCACACCTGCCAGTGGCCAGTCGCAGCCAGCAATGACCTAAAGGCGTCAGCCTCTAGCTTGGAAGCTTGCGACTTCAAACTTTCAACAGTCTGGATATGCAAGCAGCGGAGGAGCAGCTGCGTCTGCTGTACGAAACTCATGACTTCTTCTTCTCAAAAGATCCTCAGGAGAAGCGGGGCATGCTGGAGCAGCAAGCCGCCTCGGTCATGTCAGCATTAGAAGAAGCACCTGAGGCAGAGACAGGGGAGCAGAGAGCGCAGCAGCTGTACATACGAGGCCGGGCTCAGGATGTGTATAGTGAGTACAGCAAAGCAGCTGAGGACGCTCTGAGCAGGGCAGTAAAGCTGCAGCCCGACAATCCCGCCATGCTGGATGCCCTGGGCCACTGCCTGTGGAAGAAGCCGGACTGGGCAGCCGCGCAGAGATGCTTCCTGGCCTCCAACGAGGCGCACGAAAACGCGAGCGCGCTGCGGCACCTGTCCATGCTGCTGCGGCAGGTGCCTGCAGCCTCCGACGCCCAAAAACTACCAAATCTGAGGGAGAGTTTGGCGCGCGCAAAGCAGGCGGTGAAGCTGGGTGTTGCCGACCCCGAGTCCTGGTACAATCTGGGCAACGCGTATGTGGCGCTGTACTTTGGCGCGAGCAGAGCGGCGGCGGATCTGGCGGCGGCGCTGCAGGCGTACGCGCGTGCGGAGGCGAACGGCGGCGAGCACATGCCGGATCTGCACTTCAACAGGTGACGCGCGTAATTGCGTGTGCCATGGTGGCATGAGATGCTGCGCGGATTGTTGTGGAATAGCTGTGGTATTCGTACCAGGTGCACGGCACGCACAGTGTGCTTGCAGTGACGTCTGCCATTGCTGCGCCGGCGCGCTGCGTGTG